GACACCTGCGTCTAAGGATTTTGTGACCTGGTCATAGAAGGCCACCAGGTTGGTCTGACAGGACCTGCCTCTAATGAAACCATGTTGCTTGCCCCTAAGCATAATTTCCCTGCTGGCCCCTTGCAGACATGCGCTATGATAATTCTCTCAAAAAGCTTACCCAGGACCAAGATAAGACTAACAGGCCTATAGTTTCCTGGGTCCTCCTTCCTCCCTTTTTTGAAAATGGGAACACATTGGCCCTTTTCCAGTCCTCTGGCATAATGCCAGAACACCATGAGTGCTCATAAAGCTGTGCCAGGGGTCCTGAAATGACCTCTGCTAATTCCCTCACACTCTTGGGTGGAGATCATCAGGACTTGCTGATTTAAATACGTCCAGTCCCTCCAGAAGTTCCCTGACTAGGTCCTCTCTGACCCTAGGCCTGGGTGCACCTCCCCTGGGGCCTACAGGGGGTCCTGGTGGGGGGGATGACCCGGTCCCTGCTCAGAAAAATGGAGGCAAAGAAATTGTTAAATAGGTTAGCTTTGCTGTCTAGTGCGACGACCAGATTTCCTAGTGTGTCCTGCAGAGGCCCCACATTACCCGGTACCTTCTTTTTATCCCCTATGTATCTAAAAAAGGACTTCTTGTTGTCCTTGATCTGGGTAGCTAGTCCCAGTTCCATCTCCACCTTGGCCTTCCTGACCGCCCCCCTGCAGCCCTGAGCAACAGAGGTATAGTCCTCCCTGGTGATGGCCCCTCCCTTCCATTGAATGTATGCCTCTTTTTTAGTTAGGAGACTTTCCCGGATGCTTTTGGTGAGCCATGGGGGCTTTTGTGCCCTCTTGCCCCCTTTGATCCATGTTGGGATTACCTCCCTTTGGGCTTGGAGGATCGTCTCCTTAAGGAATGACCACTCTTCTTGGACACCCAACTTCTTCTGCCACTGTGCAGGAGACCAGCTCAGCACCTGATTATAGGGGTGTCAGGCCCAGATTATGGGGGTGTCCTTCCAGGAGTGGCTATGAAGCCACTGGAGTCCCTGCAGCCCCCACTTTCTGAGCAAACCCCTTCTAATTTCATGCCATGCCTTGATGTTTGTTATTTTAATGAGGGAGGCTGCCCCAGGGGTTCCTAAATTATTCTTTCAAATGACTGCCAGGTGTATGCATGTAGTCTCTGCTTTATGGGCTAACTGCATGGCTCCATTCCTCCATGCCCCATGCCTCACAGATGCAGAGGCAGATTAAGGTGTACTAGGGCCCTGGGCAAATATAAAATCGGAGGCCCCCTCTCCCAATGGGAGCTAGGCTGCAGGGTTGGGAGGGGCCCCTTCCCCTCCTGGTGTTGACGGGGAAGGCTGGGTGGACCCTGCCAGGTTGGGGGTGGGGTGCACATGCCCACCTCTTCTCCCTTATCCCCACCTGCCCTCCCCCGCTAAGCCCAAACACACACACACACACACACACTCACAAATAGGCACATACACAGATGGGCACTCTACTCTCACTCCCTACAATAAACAGATACACATATACACATGCACACACATGCACATGTGCACACAAGCACACAGGCACACTGACGCACACATAGAGAAACAGACACATACAGATGCGCAGACGTGCACACAGACACATGCACACAGACATGCACGCACACACAGACACAGATGCACACAGATGCACAGATGCACATACATACACATACAGATGCACACAGATGCATGCAAGATTCATTTGTTTTCACTGCCTCCCACTCCTGTGTTCCTCTTTCTTTGGTTTATCCCTCTTTGTAATTGTGGCAGCGAGGCACCCCCACAGGCTCCCAAAGGGGAGAAGGCAGTCCCCGGGGGCCCCAAACCCCATAAACAGCCCCCTGTGGGGGAAACTTACCTCCCCCCAGGCAGTCAGAGGAGGAGAAGGGACTGCGGCCGCAGCTGCGCAAGCCGGCGTTATGCCGGCTGTTTAATCAGCTGTTCCCCAGGCGGGGAACAGCTGGACAAATCACGGTGGCTGTTCCGGCCACCGCGGGAAGATTTAAAAGCCCCACTGGAACCCGGGGGGTGGAGGAGCCGGAGAGGGAGTGCGCTGGCATGGAGCACACCAGACACGTTGAGGCTCCGGCATGGGAGAGGAGCAGTGCAGCCAGTGCAGCACTGGGAGGCAGAGCAGGGGAGGCATTTGAGCCCCCTGTAGGAGGCTGGGGGAAAGGAGGCAGCTCCACATCCCTCTCTTCCCCAGGAGTCTGTTTCTTTTGAAGAAAAAAAAAAAAGGAAATAAAAGAGATAGAGAAGAGACATAAGAACAAAGCGCCCTACTCAGATGCACGACAGTAGGCGCTGCATTTCACATATATAGCTGGCCAGCCTCGAGCAAAGGAAGGCTACTCGTTGCGGCAGGAGGGGTGGCCGGACAAATACCAACTGAGCCCACTCAGACGTGGGATTCCCCTCAAGGCAAGCTGTGGTCGAGCCAGCAAGACCAAACCACCATTGTACTGATGCCCATTCGGTTGGCGAGTGGATGGGGTGTAGGGGAGGTGTAGTCCCATGGAACATCACACCTGAATCGTGAATACTGCCGTTTCCCTGGGAAGCCCTCCCAAGAAGATCTCCATTGAACCCTCTCTCTTTATAGAATAACATCAAGTCATGGCAAGCAAGTTGAGAGGTGGGGCTATAGACCCGGCAGGTAGTACAACATGCAAGGCCCCTTACATCACAGCAATGTTATTATAAAAATGCCAGTAGGGCACCTGTTCTAATATGTTACACATTTCCTTCATTTTCTCACCCAAGGGGCTCTGGCTTCAACCTCATTGCTTTTATATCCACCCTCAGTGTTTGTTCTTCCCCTTTCTTGCACATCTCTCCTAACTCACCTCCTTCTCAGACCATATTTACTCAGATCTAAGATGACCCTCAATTTAAGACAACCCCTGAGTAATTAGCTCATATACATGGACTCAGAATCTAATTACTGGGGTGTTATCTTTAATCCACCACCACCACCACCACTGCAGGGGGGTAGGGAGTGGGGGGCAGGTGGTGTGGGGAGGTCAAGCAGCTTGCCCTCTACTTGTGCCTGCCCCCTGCCATCTCTTCCCCCTGGCTGCCCCCCCTGCAGATTTGCCCCCCCCCTTTTGCCTCCACCTCTGCTTCCTCCTCCCCCAG